TTTTTGTTCGTTTTTCCATATGAAATTGAGACTTGTTATTTCAAGGTCTGTAAAGAATTGTGTTGGTAATTTGATGAGATCATATTTTAAGCTGTTGAGATACTTCACCAGAAATGATTGGCATACATCCTCTAATTCTTTCACAGCAGACTGTTCTTCTAGCTTTTAGGCTCTTTCTCCCCTCTTTGTGATTTTTCCTTGAGCTGTAGGTGGAAGGGGTTGTGTTGTAGATGTGTCTGTTGAGGTTGGGCACCCCACAGTCACTTATTCTCTGCATATTGATCAGTTGTGGGTATCTATAATAGTCTCAATTTATTGCTTGAGGCTATAAGGATAAGTATTTAGATTACAGTTATAATTATATTATTTTAGAAAATAAAATAATAGTGGATTCTTTTCTTGGGTCTCTGACCTCTCTGGCCACGAGTAGTTGACTGGGTTTTCAGTACTAGGTGTGGTTCCCTTCCTAGTCCGTGGCCTTTAAATGCAGTTAGACAGTTGTCGGTGCCCCCTCAGATACAGGAGCTGCTGTTGCACTATTGATCTTCCCAGGGCAGTCATCATTGTGCTTCATAGGTGTCACAGTCCTAGGACTATTGATTGCTTTTCTGCTTTGTCAATTTTTATAGTACCCCTGAATACTATGATAGCTAGGTCTCACGGCGGAGGCTTCCAGGTCAATTCCAGTTTAATTCCTCCAAGTTCTATTTCTGAAAGATGGATTCTTCAGCAGTACTTCAAGTTCTTGGAGGCAACCAAGGGGAACACCAATATCCTATATTATTTGGGATGTCTCGTGAAGTCCCCTGACCAACAACAAAGGAGAAGTTTCATGCTTGGCACCAGGGTTTTTGTCAGATGGTCTTTGGCTCTTGGGAAAAACATTGTCACCCCTTATAGCATAACTTCATTTAAATTACTTCTACATGTATATACATTGTCCTAGTTAGGATTACTGATGAGACATCAGGACGGAAAACAAATGGGGGAGGAAAGGGTTTCTTTGGCTTAGACTTCCACATCACTACTCATCACTGCAGGAAGACAGGACAGGAGCTCAAACAGGACAGGTTCTGGGTGCAGGAGCTGGTGCAGAGGCCATGGGAAGGGGCTGCTGCTTAATGGCTTGTTCTTGCTGGTCATCCTATGGTACTGACATCTCCAAAAATGCACATGTACTTAAATATATTTTTAAATTAACATTAAAAATAAAAAATCATGTTTCCCTATGGCTTTTTCAGCCATCCTTGGTATTCTTTATTTCTCTTTCTCTTGCTTAGCATTTCCCTCTCTCCACATCCTCCAGATCAAGTCTCCCTTTCATTTTCCCAGTTCCCCCTTCAAGTCTTTAGATATGAGCATGTGACCTGGAGTAATCACAGAAAGCAGGCTAGGAGGACCTTTCAAGGTCCTATCACCACACGGAGAACTAGGAACAAGTCTATCCTTTGAAGGACAAACATACCGACCATAAAACATACAAACCTGAATTGTGCAGTGAGATATAAACAGGAGACAAGAATAGTTAAACAAGAATGCATTTATGTCCTGTATGTAGAGTTCAGAGCACTTTTTAGAGCTAATGCAATGGAGAACCCCCCCGCATAGTGGGTTATGATGAGGGAGATGCTTGGGAGGAAATAGTCAACAAAGTTTTTTGTTCCTGTACAGCGAGAGCGGTCTGGTTTGGGGAGGCAGTGCTTACTTCCACTTAATAAGGTAGTTGGGGCAGTGAGGTTGAAAAGTGGCATGGTTTAGAAATAGTCAGGAGCCGGTGCAGTCACAGGATCGTAGGAGGCTTTGGAAACGGTCAACACAGATTCCAGTTTTACAGGCAGGGAAACTGAAACCCAGGGTGTTCCTGAGTTTCTTGCCCGAGATTAGTCACAGCTAGTTGGGGCCAGAGCTAGAATTAATTCCTTCCACATGACTGGATATGAAAATATATTAATAACAGAATCAAGAAGGTGGCAGATTGTGGAAATACTTTGTATGTGTAGAGAATAATTTTTATATAGATGTGATTCCCCATCTTTTAAAAGTAGAGAACTATGGACTAGCTTTTGGTTTGTTAAGCAGAGACATTAAGAAAAGAAAGCTGGAACAATCCATGAAACTATTTAAGAGTAGGATGATCTGGCGCATGGCCAGAAACGACCTTCCTGGCAACTTCTGAGGCGTCTTGCTAATAATAAACAGGAGTGGGGATGTTGCTAGCAGCAAGGGTCCCTCACTGGAGGCAGGGCCTCATGTCAGCAGCAGTGTCTGGTGCCGCTGCATGCCTCAGCTCTGGGTGCTCGCGCACAGTGGGGCACTGCGGATGAGGGAACTGAAGCCCACATACGGTGAATGATGATCAGCTGTAGAACCAGATTTTAAATCCTTATGTATCTGAATCTCAAACTTGAGAATGGGTAAGACCTCCTTTCTAAAGTTACTTCTAGATTTAAAAAAAGTTTAATAAAAAAGTACAACCAAGGAGAAGTGGCTACATCGCCGAGGGGAGGAGGTTGGGACCTGGTTTCCAGAACCGGCTGGGTGGGCGTCATGGCCGGGATCACCACCATCGAGGCGGTGAAGCGCAAGATTGAGGGTCTGCAGCGGCAGGCGGATGATGCTGAGGGCCGAGCGCCTCCAGCGGAAAGTGGAGGGAGAAGGGCGGCCCGGGAGCAGGCTGAAGCTGAGGTGGCCTCCTTGACCCGCAGGATCCAGCTGGTTGAAGAGGAGCTGCACCACGCTCAAGAACACCTTGCCACTGCTCTGCAGAAGCTAGAGGAAAAGGAAAAGACTGCTGAGGAGAGTGAGAAAAGTATGAAGGTGATTGAAAATCCAGGCTCTAAAAGATGAAGAAAAGATGGAGCTCCAAGAGATGCAGCTAAAGGAAGCAAAGCACATTGCAGAAGAGGCAGATAGGAAGTATGAAGCGGTGGCTTGTAAGCGCTGATTACTGAGGGAGACTTGGAATGCACGGACGAACGAGCCGAGCTCGCAGAGTCCCGTTGCCGAGAGATGGACGAGCAGTTCAGACACATGCACCAGAACCTGAAGTGTCTGAGTGCTACCAAAGAAAGGCACTCTCAAAGAGAAGACAAGTAGGAAGAAGAAATAAAGATTCTTATTGATAAATTCAAGGAGGCAGAGACCCCTGCTGAGTTTGCTGAAAGATCGGTAGCCAAACTGGAAAAGACCGTTGATAACTTGAAGATAAGCTGAAGTGCACCAAACAAAAACTTGTTCCGGGCTGAGAAGGTTTTCAGCTTTGCTTTCTGTGAACAACTTGGCGCTTGTTTTTATTTCTACCTTTTCCAGCAGGTGTGACCAGATAAGCCGGCGAGCCTTCTGAGACGCCCCCAGCTCCCAGGGCCTGTTAGACAAGCATGCTTGAGCCCCCGCACCTGAGCCCGGACCCGTCTCATCTCAGCCCCTATCCCAGCTGCTCACAAAATGGATCGTGTTGCCCTTAGAGTTGAGGTGACCCTGAGGGAGAAAGGGAAGGAAGATTATGTTCGTGCCACTAGCCACATGAGAAGTGGCTGAGAAGCCCCCGCCCTTTCCTGAAGCTGCTGTCTCTAAAGGGCCAGCTCTTTGTGTCAGTCAGTGCTGGAGAAATCTTGACTAGCTTTTGTAAAAAAGAAACTTTTTAAATTTTATATCGTTTTGAAATTTTGCTCGGGGCGGGGGTTGGGTTACCTTGGCCAATCTATTGGCTGTCAGAATTCTTTGCAGGCAGGTGGTGTGCTGATCCTTTGGGTGCCCACCCAATTGCTATGTTCAGGTGAAAGAGAACCCCATAGTGCAACTGTTTTGATACTGAATATTGACAAGTGGCATTGTAGAATAAAGAACAATTCCCTCAAAAAAAAAAAAAAACTTTAAAAATCAAATCAATGAAATTCAAGTTCTTGATATTAACGTGAAAGATAAGGATTTTGGTGCAAGAAGAGTCTGTGGCTTCCGGTTAGGGAAGCGCCATGAGACGATGCTTGCTCTAGCTTGCTCTGCCTGTCTTCCTATGAGTGTGTGCTGTCACTGGGTCCTCCTGCCTCTTTCCCCTTACCTAGCATCTCCCAATACACCTTCAGTTAGTACTCAGTGGTACCATTTGACCACCACTTCACCCAATCAGATATTTATTGATAACTCCTCCTCTGTTTTCATGCTTCCCTCTAGGCTCTGAAATGGCCTGTTTCTGTGTATTTAGTTGTAAGCCAATGGTTGCATTTGATCGATAACATATTCATTTTTGGAGTCTCTGTAAGAAACCACGGAAGTGAAGGAGGTCACAGAGTCGCTGGTCAAACCAGGCCTTCGTTGTTTACTCTGTGAAAGGCGGTCCTACATTTACCCCTGAGCGCTCTCCCAGTGCCGTCTGCGTGTGCGGGGTGATAGCGCCAACCCAAGACCTCCGTCACCATCACTCCATGCTGGCTCCATTCAAGCCTGGCCAGGCTGCGCCTGAATTTCTACCACAGCCCTTGGCTTTACCAAATCATTCACCGAAGTGGGAATTTTTCAGATTACAACTTTTAAAACTCAGCTTAGTAATTACCGTTCTGGCTACCTTCCTGATTGTTCTCCTTGTGTTCCATTTCTCCACCCTACACATCAACTCACCAACCCCTTTTCCTGTTACTGCTCTTCCTGTCCCTCTGTTAGAACTTCATGACCTCATGCACATCCTTGTTACAATGCTTAGTACTTTGTGCGGCCACCTGACTTCTGGACAGTAAGGCTGGCCTGATACTTGTCTCACTAACACACGCCTAAATGGGAAGGGTTGCAGTGCTCTGGCTGTGTTGCTCACTTAGCTGTGATATGAGAAGCCAGGGGTCAAAGTCAGGGAAGGAAAAAGTAGATACCTTTTATTTGCTTGTGTCAAACTTGTGTGAAGTTACTAGGTAATGGAGCAGACTTTGTGAGCATGTGAATAAAATGAGGATAGAAGCAAGCTTTCCCTGAAGCGTTAACAGACAGCCTTGCTTTGTTTCCCTGTTGGTCAGGTGCTGTGATCGTCTCTACGCCTCAGGACATTGCACTCATGGATGCACACAAGGGAGCGGAGATGTTTCGAAAGGTCCACGTGCCTGTAAGCATTTAACCTCACTGATAAAGTATGACACCTGTCTAGCCTAAGAACCAGGCCATTAACAAAACATCATTTGAGTTTTAGTTTAGCCTTTTGTAGAACACTTTATGAAACTCCTAGCTGATCTTTCCAGTTACTGTAAAACATTCTTAAGGTTACAAATATGTCCAAGTCATGCTAAACAAGAGAAATTCTGAAGCAAGGATCAGGAATTGCAAGTTTTCTGAAGAACTATGCTCTCCAAATGCTGACAGAGTCATGTGAGCTTCCCAGGAAAGGTTTTCATAGATGAGAAAGACCACCTGTGGGAAAGAAGGTGAAAAGGTAACTCCTCTTCCTTCTGGCTGCCTACATTTTAACTCTTGACAGCCCATGTTGTTCTAGGGAATGTTTCAGGATATTCTGTACATGACAAAATAATGTAACAATGTAATAAAAATAGACAAAGAGTAATTAAGATCAGGTGGAACCCAAAGTAAAGTCAGCAAACAAACTGCATGCCATTAAGGAACTTAAATATGCTATGAATTTTCTAGCAGCCAAAGGAAAGAAGCATGTGACCAGTTAGGACACTGTCCATTTGTACATGGTTAAAACAAGCTGCTTGCTCAAGAGATGCCCTGCTGAGACCAGATGCATGCTTTCACCAGATTCTGGTGAGGAAGAAACTATATTAAACACACTCCCCTCTTCTTTAACCTAAGGAAAAGAAAGATCTTCCTTCTAGTGGCCTCCACAAAAGCCTTGAAATACTAGCAGAGGTCAGTTGGAATGAGACCACTGCGATGCTTCCATCCACATGGCTCTCCACATAGGTCTTTAAATCCAATAGAATCTGGGCTCTATCAAGCCAGAACGACGGCTCAGTGGTAAAGTGCTCCCTGTGCGAGCCTGATTACCTGAGTTCAGTCCTCAGAATCCATGGAAAGGTGGAAGGAGGAAACTGAGTCCACAGGGCTGCCCTCTCATCTCCACACGTGTGTCATGCAATGCATGCCTGTCCTCACATATATTCACACACATGTTTTCAAACTTAGACCCGTGGATTAGCCTCAGGGCCCTCACAGTTCTCTAGCCCACCTTCACTCCACCAAAACTATGATGATTTTGTGTGTCTGGGTATGGGAAGAATTCATAACTTTCTTCATATTCTTCTATGAGACCATGACACAGGAAAATGGTCAGGGATATTTTCTTAAGCATTGTCTCTGAGAGGAGCCTCAAAAGATATGAAACAGTATATAGAGCAGAGTCCAGAGGACCTACCCAGGAGAGCCTCTCCTGACTTGCCGTCTGGAGAGGACTGTGTACTTGGCAAGTGACAGGCACCGGTGAGCGCGAAGGAGCCTCATCAGGAGCACGCCTGTCTGCTTTCTCCAGGTGGCTGGGGCTCTTCACTGGTGGACCCGCATGTGTGACTGCTTCAGAGCTGGCGCTCTGTACCCCGACGTTTAGCTTGGAAGAAACTTACAGCAGTGATAATCACATGCCACTGCAGACACTGGCAGGTGTTTTGAGCAATGCGACTTTGTAGTATGTCCTCCAGGACAAACTAGACACAGTAATGGCTGTGCAGATCACTGAGTAGTGCAGCCCTTATGTGAGGTTAAAATATAAAGTGGCAAAGAGAGAGGCAGCCTTCTACCAGAATTGACGGCACCGAGTTTAACAAGTGATCTGTAACTCTTCCTGGCAAAAAGTACATAACGCCACTGCAAGGTTCAGACACTAGCCCTCATCCTGCACGGCGTGAATGCTGACCTTGGCTGGAGAGACATAAGTCTGCTGCACTCAACACTGGCACAGCCTCAAAAGAAATTGGTTTGCAAAGAGCAGTGTTCAGATTATCTCTCTCATTCCCCTCAGAAATGTTCAGTTTATACTAGTAGATCATTTAGCTAATGCTGTCATTTGAGGTCGCAGTGACTGTGGATCAGGCCCATCACAGACTCTGTCTATTCAGAGTCTAGGGACCATAGTTGCCACATTCAGCATGCATATTTTCAGCTCGGGTGGTACTTTCCTCTGACACCCTTGACACTTATAAATAATGAAGAAAACAGTCTCATACTGTTATGTTTCTGTTTGTTTGTTTTCTGGTATCCAAGACAGACTGGGCCATATAATTCCTCCAGAACATAATCAGGGCTGGCTACTATACTGGCCATATAATTTCTCCAGAACATAATCAGGTGAATCAGGGCTGGCTACTAAAGCCAGCTGGCTAGATGCCACGTAAGGATAAGAGCTGAGGATGCTACCAGGGAAGTACCATGAAGAAGTGGAGGGTAGTGGGCGGTGCGGGCTCACAGGCTGCACCCAGGATTGGTGAAAAGAGGAAACAGCGTTTGGGATCACACCAGTAATTTTAAGTTTGTAGAGTTAGGGTCATCCTGGGTTCTGACAGGGCCAGGATGTGGTCATGGGATGGGCATGTTGGGACTGAATGGCATAGAAGTGAAAATCACCGGAGCTGTGTATTCTGTGGCTGTTTCCAAGATGGAATTAGTCAGTCCTCCCTCTGGCATTTTGGACATCTGCCTACTGTATCTCTGTGCTAGCCCTCTTTTTATGCCCTGATTTCAGTCATTTGCCCTTGATGCTGCAGAAACAGTGTAAAAACGGGTAGATGTCTTAGTCATCTCTTAAACCTGAGGAACAGCATGCATGTGTAGTGAGGGTCTAGGTGAATGAGAACTTTCCAGTGCTGGGCCTCTTGTGTAGTCTGACAACCATGATACTGCTGCCAAGAAAAGTGAGTCTCGGTTATCAGTGAGAACTGAGGATGATGGCTACAGAGATTCTGGCTTTTAAGATCCCCCCGAGTCTAAGAAATGGCAAAGTGTTTGGAATTAAAAAGTGTTCCATAATGCAAAGACGATGCTGTGCTGTTTATTCTACTTTATTCCCTTTCCCCTGGTTTTCATCTTGTTCTGTTTTTCCCCTTTTTGAAGTGCATTAGTTACCATGGAAACAGTGATGTCATTGGAATTCATTGGTATGGACAGAGTTTAGTGATGTCTGCAAGAACGTTTTGAAGTTAATTTAAATGATTTCTTAACTCAATGCATAACTTTGGAAAGGAGGAAAGAGGTGAGGGATTAAATTCTGCCCTCTGCCTGAAATGATAAAAACCTATAACGAATCCCTGATTAGAGCAGGATTTGTAGGTAGATTGTTTTTTGCAAAAACAAAAAAAGAATGTTCATCCTTATCCATTTTTAATAATGAGTAATTTATGTATGCTATTCTGACCCACTTTTGATACCTCCTTTCCAAGAGCGCCTCTCATACCTCAGTGCTGTTTCACCACCTGAATGTTTGGCCTCACAGCGATGTTCTTACTCAGGCCTTTCTTTGGGAACTAACCCCGCTCCTCAAAAGTGCCTGAATGTCTGTTTACTCTCTTATTTCTTAGTGACACACAGGCTCACTTAACGTTAGTTCAACAAGCAGTTGTTAACTGAGCTATCCCGTGAGTATGCACTTGCTGACAGTGTCCTCTGTAACGAAGTATTGTGTTTCAGTTTACTCTCTATCGCTGTGGTGAGCACCATGACCAAGACCAGCCTGGAAGGAAATGGTTTGTGTCATCTTATGGGTCACAGTCCATCACTGGGGAAGCAGGAATTTGGGGCAGAAACCATGGAGGGATGCTACTCAGTGGCTTGCTTCCCTGGGCTTGCTCAGCTACCTTTCTTATATACCAACTGCCCCAGGATGGCATGGCCCACAGTGGGCTTGATGTTTCTGTATCAATTAGTAATTACTTAGCTGAGGCCTCCTCTTCCCAGGTGAATCTAGCCTATGTCAAGTTGGCAAAAGCTACCCAGCATGGACTATAAGCTTCCGTGATGACCCCAGAAGGAAAAGACCTGCTTCCTCTGAATCCTTTTTGATCTGTTAATTAACTCTGTGATGTTGAAGGGGCGCTAAGTTCTGAGAATAAGAAAACTTTCTTCAAGCCAGTGAGGCTGGTATTCTGGCAAAGTCTTTATCTTATTTGCATCTTTTCAGCATTCTGTAATTTTGGACGTGATGTGTCATTTCCAGCCCAGGGAACCTTTATGTGTGAAATCCTGTACACATGTCCAGCTGGCCTCTCAGCCCACTACAGGCTTCTCTGTTAGTCTCCACAGAAGAGACTGGATCCCTGTTGTCAAGGGAACCTGCCTAAACATGTGCCACGGTTAGCCAACTGGCCCAAAGTCACGCTATCACCGTGACCCAGGACAGTCGCCATCCCCAGCCCACTGTTCATCCTCCCCAGCGCATAGGCTGCTCTGCTCTTCCTGTCACAGCCACCTTGGTCTGCCTCTACTTCTGCACATCCTGCATCCCACGCGTCCTCGGAATCTTCAGCCACTTTCCCACCCAAGCACATTCGACGCTCTCTTTTTACTTAAGCAATCTCTTTTTATCCTTACACACCCAGACTAAACAGACTTCTCTTTGGGACTTGGCCTACTGCTGTTTTCTAGGAGAGCTCATCCTCACCTGAGATTTCTGAGATTAGCACTGTGTGCATCCTGGCAAATCACAGACACATTCAAAGAGTCTAGTGTTTGCCTATCATTGAGGTTTACTTGTTTGAGTGGGGATGTGAAGCTGGAGGACATGGGAACGCTGAAAAGTGGGCTATAGCTATGGATCCGTAGATTCAAATGACAGTCAAGAGACAGGCTGAGCCTCAGAGAAAGGCAGATGACCATGATCTTGAAGAAGGCTTCAGCTTGACTGCATTCCTGAGTGCAAAGGAGAATGCAAACCAGGCCCTGTCTGTAACTATGCCTTAATTATTGTGTGAAATTGCTCTGCTAAACTGTATTGACTTGTCGTTATCCAATCCACTTGCCTCCCTGAGTAAAGTTCCCCAGTCCATTTACTTGTCATCCTGCTTCCACATACAATTCAGTGACCTAGACTGAATTTGAGCTTTGTGATTTATGATGTGACCTAGAGGAAGTAATTCAGCATCGGGTTTCTCGTCTATGAAATAG